ACAAAGATACAGTTTTATAAGTTTATGAAGATTACAGGCAAAGCGGGATCTCAGGAGGCCTAGACCTTCTCCGTGGGTCTCAAAAAGCCCCGAATGAGGTCTTACATGGTAACTTATAGGGAATGGTGAATAATTGCCAGGGGTAATAGATTTACATAACAGCAGGTAGCTCCTCTCAAGTTAACAGATTTTCAAAAGGCTTCTAGAGATCCTTTAACTAATTCTATCTACGTGAGCAAATGGTTATAAAATCTTTCAAAGGTTAACTTCTAAGTTCTAAGGTAAGTTTATCACTTAACGGATGGGTTAAACAGAGATATGTTGGCTCCATATTTATTAGGTTATTGTGAATGGAGACAGGTAGTCTAGAGTGGTTTAAACAAGAGCTTTGCTTCTAGCCATTCGGGAAGCTGTCTGTTCCGGGGGGGGCACTCCATTGTCAGCTCTCAGCCTGTAGTTTTTAACAGATTCACTTTGCTTTACAAAGCAAATCCAAACCTTTAGGTCTGAGAAACGCAGCGCCTTGTGGGATACAGCCGCTACTGCCTTTCAGAGACGCCCTTCCGAGTGTAACAGCATTCGAAATGCAAACCAACACGTTCACATATTCCTTCAGGGCAAAGCTCTGAAAAACTCCTAAGACAAATCCTGTCTGCAAACACGTTTAATATTAATTCATGGAGCAACACATGAGGTTTGAGGAAAGAAGCCGTCTCCATAATACAAAAGTGCAAAGTGAAGCAGTAAGTGCTAGGACAGAAGCTGCAGCAAGTTATCCAGAAGATCTAGCTAAGATTGTTGATGAAGTCGGCTGCACTAAACAACCAATTTTCAGTGTAGACAAAACAGCTTCTATTGGAAGAAGATGCCATCTAGGACTTTCATAGCTGGAGAGAGGAAGTCAGTGCCTGGCTCCCAAGCTTCAAAGGACAGGCTGACTCTCTTGGGGGCTAACGCAGCTGGAGACTTTAAGTGGAAGTCAGTGCTCATTTGCCATTCTGGAAGTCCTAGGGCCCTTCAGAATTATGCTAAATGTCCTCTGCCTGTGCTCTAGAAATGGAACAACAAAGCCTGGATGTCAGCACATCTGTTTACAGCATGGTTAACTGAATATCTTAAGCCCGCTGTTGAGACCTATTGCTCAGAAAAAAGATCCCTTTCAAAAGGTTACAAATGCCCCTGGTCACCCAAGAGCTCTGATGGTGTACAAGGAGATGAACGCATTTTCATGCTGCTAACACAGCACCCATTCTGCAGCCATGGGTCAGAGTAACTTCTACTTTCAAGTCTTATTATTTAAGATACACATTTGTAAAGCTATAGTTTTGGATCTGGGCAAAGTAAATTGAAAATCTTCTGGAAAGGATTCACCATTCTAGATGCTGTTAGTAACCATTCATTTATGTGAAGTGAAATAAGCAAGGCACAGGAAGACAAATATTGTGTGTTCTCACTCATATGTGGAAGCTAAAAAAGTCAGCCTCGTGGAGGGAGAGAGTGGAATGATGACTACCAAACACTGGG